CCCTTTGTTTATTGAAGACTTGATTTAATTACCTTAGCCAGACGGACAAGTCTAGATAAGTCTGGTCCACTGCACTCTCAAGGTGAACGCTGCTGTGGCTCAGATTGACAGCACTGCAAATGGGCAATGTCTTAGTAGTACTTAGTAGCAATGACTGTGATTACAACAGAATGATAGTTAACTAACCTGTCCTCAATTCCTCTGCATGTAGGCTGGTGAAAGCAATCATGACATGACATGGTAGTTGTGATTGAATCCCCTTTCTTATGTCATGGAAAATGCTGAGTGAATTGAGTCATGAAATTGTACTGTGTCATGGAAAATGTGGAATGAATTGTGTTTTGGAATTATATTCTGCCATGGGAATTGCCGAATGGACTGTGTAATGGAAAATGTAAATTCAGCCAAATAATTTATGAACACATCACATAACTTTGATGTCTCTTTAAAGATTATTGAAATGGACTTCATGTTGTCCTTTTTCAACAGGCACCACCTCCAAGCATGTGGTGATGCTGGCAGGCAACACAGCCAAGCATGGCCTTCGCTGCAAAGCCTGCAAGATGAGCATCCACCACAAGTGTGAAAAAGGAGTGGGATCGCAACGCTGCCAAGGCAAGCTGGTAAGAGCCTCAACATCGTCACAAAATGTAATATACACTGAACAAAAATGTAAATGCAACATGTAAATAAATGTTGGTCCCATGTTTCATGAGCTGAAATAAAATATCCCAAGCATATTTCTCTAAAATGTTGTTCACAAATTTGTTTACATCCCTTTTAGTGTGCATTTCTCCTTTGCCAAAATAATCCATTCACCTGACAGGTGTGGCATATCAAGAAGATGATTAAACAGCATGATCATTACACAGGTGCACCTTGTGCTTGGGACAATAAGGCCACTCTAAAATGTGCAGTTTTGTCACACAACACAATGCCACAGATGTCTCAAGTTTTGAGGGAGCGTGCAATTGGCATGCTGACTGCAGCAATGTCCAACAGAGCTGTTGCCAGATAATTGAATGTTCATTTCTCTACCATAAGCCGCCTCAAATGTCGTTTTAGAGAATTTGGCAGTACGTCCAATCAGCCTCACAACCGCAGACCATGTGTATGGCATCGTGTGGGCGAGCAGTTTGCTGATGTCAACATTGTGAACAGAGTGCCCCATGGTGGCAGTGGGGTTATGGTATGGGCAGGCAGGCAGGCATAACGAACACAATTGCATTTTATCGATGGCAATTTGAATGCACAGACGTACCGTGACGAGATCCTGAGGCCCATTGTCGTGCCATTCATCCGCTGCCCGCATCACCTTGTGTTTCAGCATGATAATGTACGGCCCCATGTTGCAAGGATCTGTACACAATTCCTGGAAGCTGAAAATGTCCCAGTTCTTCCATGGCCTGCATACTCACCAGACATGTCACACATTGAGCGAGTTTATAATGCTCTGGATTGATGTGTACGACAGTGTGTTCCAGTTCCCACCAATATCCAGCAACTTCGCACAGCCATTGAAGAGTGGGACAACATTCCACAAGCCACAATCAACAGCCTGATCAACTCTATGCGAAGGAGATGTGTTGTGCTCCATGAGGCAAATGGTGGTCACACCAGATACTGACTGGTTTTCTGTTCCACACACCTACCTTTTTTAAAGATAACTGTGACTAACAGATGCATATTTGTATTCCCAGTCGTGAAATCCATAGATTAGGGCCTGATGAATTCATTTCAATTGACTGATTTCCTTATATGAACTGTATTTCATTAAATCTTTGAAATTGTTGCATGATACGTTTATTTTTGTTCAGTGTAGTTGTTTTTATTAAAACACATGGGGTGTCTTCAGAAAGTATTCAAAACCCTTTACTTTTTCCACATTTTTGAAATTCTTGCATTTATATTTTTGTTCAGTATAGAACTAAATGTAGTACTATACTAGTATTTATACTGTATGTACTGTATCTCTATGGACATCATCACCAGTGTCATCATTATTGTCGTCATCAATTACATCACTGTCATCATCCATAGAGATACATATACTGTATGTTCTATCACAATGTCATCATCATCAGTGTAATCATCATCATTCTCCCCAGCTAGCCAGAGAACATATTGAAAATATTGTATTAACGTTAACAGCAGTGCCATCAAGCTCTCTTTGTGCCTACAGAACAGCATGTGTCCCCACATAAAGCATTAATCCAAGGTCAATAGGTCTGGACCCGAGGCATCTTTTCATTGCATGTAATTTATTGACGTGCTACAGTATATGCCATTCTGTTAGAAGTACACCATTGGGATTGAAGCCTGTTGCTTAGTGTTATTCACATGTTCATATATTTGTCTCAAAAGTCCCAACAGAATACCAGATTAAAGATGTGGTGTGGAACATATTGTTCAGCGAGGCACAACTCCACAGAGGTTAATGTACTCATCACAAAGACATGAAAGATAGATTAGTAATGCGGCACTGCAAATACAGTATTGAATAATCATGGTGCTACCATATGAGTAAAAAAAAATTCAGCAACAGGATGTTCAAGGATACAGTTTGTGAGAAAGGGGGAGTGGATAGTTGCAGAGAATACCAACACCCATCCGTCATTTCGCCGTCGTCCACTGTACTCAGGGGAACTGGCAGTCACGACTACACTGGGGGTTTTAAGTCATTCACATCGAATCACACGTCCCACACAGAAAATATACAGCATGTGCGGTTCTGTGATGTGTGATTGCCTTGGCTCTCCAGTGACTAACTCCTCCAGAGTCCAGGTGTGCCTGGCCTGCATGGGGAGTTTACTGGGATTGACAGGGAATTACTGGGAATAACTAGACATTACTGAGTTTAAATGGAGAACTGACCAGTAATGGGTGGGTTTGAATGAAAATGATCAGGATTGACCTTGGGTTCAGTGAACCTTGTGAACCATGAGACTGTATTGGATACAGGAAGACACGTGTTCCCTTTGCCCTCCTTTTATTTTCTTCCATGAGCTGCCCAATGCCTTGAGGATGAGCTTTGTAGAGATATGGATCAGCTTTCAGGAGTGGAAAATGAGGTTGAAGGGTAAAGCATAAAAAGAGAATATACTCCCAGTGGGGCTCGCCTCTAAATGAAGGTTTCTCTAAACTTGGCAGGTTGTATTTCTTCAACCCTGCTTATTTCTCTTGGCAACAGAATTTGGTCGGAGAAAAAAGAGAATACGTTGCTGCTTGGGACTATCTTGAAACCAAATATATATCATGATGTGACGTTTGAGTTTAAGATCAAAATATAACAGTGAAACTGTGACTATTGGGCTCCACTTGAGAGGTGCTTATAGAGTTGAAGAGTTGCTTATTTTAGCTTCTCATTATGAGCCACAGCACATTGAGAATTAATCAAGGCAGATTACTTATGCAGATTGCTTGAACACGGTTGATCATACAAAATGTAAACAAACAAAATGAGGCCTCTCCTCCTTTGTGCAGTGGAGGCAGAATGATTGTGCTAATTGTAGGACTAACGCATCATCTGTGTAGCTGCCAAAAATCTAAACACAATACAAGTAGATTTCATTGTCAGATTATTATCCCAGTAAGGAAATTACCTTTCACTGTATATGATGCCGAGTTGAATCTGTCCTTGTTTTGATAAACATAGTTATTGATAAACACCTAGTGTAGCCCTTTCCTGCGGTCAAATGACCTAGTGGCCTCATGGATGGAATGTTATTAATATTTTCATAATTTAATGATTAATAAACATTATTTAAAAAACCAGCTGGAAATCTGGTGTTTCTATGTAAAGCGGTTTTGTTATATTTCAGTCTTCTGTGATGTATATAAAGTGTAATATTAGGATGCAAACTCAAAATGTAATACATTTCAACTCTATATCTGAGCATTTTTTAAGCCCATAACCATGTGTGTGAGGTGAATACTTTTGTTTCAAAGTAGATTTGTTTAAGACTACCAAGAAACACTGTGTGAGCCATGATTTAGCCAACTACAGTAAAATGGTAATTATTCCACCTACTTGTCAATCATGTATTGCACTGACATTACCATCCTTGCCTCAGATTACTCTTTCTTGGGTGAGATACTGAGACTCTGAAATTCAGAAAATTGAGGCTGTCCACTGTCATTTTTCTGGATATACGAGGGACACATCTCTGATGGGAAATATTGATTTTATGGGAGACGGTAAACACAGAAATGTCATGGTTAGATAGATGATAGATGTCGGGAGGAGTGTCCTTGTTTGAACTTGGTATGTGGGGAATGGAAAGTGACTTAACTGCAAAGAAACTGGTATACATCTTCGTAATGACTCTGGGCCTGTATTCAAAAAGTGTCTGAGTAGGAGTGCTGATTTAGGATCAGGTCCCCCCTCCTGTCCATATAATCTTATAGATTATGCTCTAAAATGCTAAACTGATTCGTGATCAGCACTCCTACTCTGAGACTATGTGAATACGGGCTATGAAATCTGCTGTCTGGCACTCTGCCAGCTGAGCTGTACAAACTGTACACAAACTACTCAAAGTAACATAATTGATGCTGGACTAATCTGCTCCTGGTCCAGGTGCACGTCTTCAATCAACCCTCAATAAACTATTTAAACTAAACATTACGTAATATTGTTTAGCATGGCTGATGTAGGGAGAGTGATCAGCAGGCAGTTTAAGGGGGAAATAGGAAGGACAAGTCACAGAGTGGACTAAAGTGGTGAATGGGTTTTAACCCGTTTTTCTCGCTTGGGATATATCTAAAATGGCTCCTCTGCTTTAGCCAACTCATTATTGTCGAGCCAAAATGATGTTGCGTGGCTGAATGCAGAAACACTCTGAAACCCAGACTAAAGTACAGTATAGACAAATACAATTTGATTTGATGTATACAGTGCATGTGGAAACTAACAGAGAAATTAGGTTATGCAGTGGCTCTAATGTATTTTGCTGGTGGTGTGCTGTGCTGTCTGTTGACGTATCGATCCATCACTCACTATGATGTTCCTGCCCTCTCTTAACCTCTCCCTCCCCCATCCACAGCCAAAGGGCTTTCGACGGTACTACAGCTCCCCACTGCTGATAACGGAGCAGTTTGGCTGCATCAAAGAAGTCATGCCCATTGGTAAGCGCGCTCTCTTTCCCTTTGCCTTGACAATACTCTAGAGATGTCACTACAAACCAAGGTGCATGAACAGTGGAGTAAACTGAGGATGAGAAGATACTCAGCAATTCTTGGCAAGACAATGGAAGTTTCCTTAAAAAAAGTATATTTTGTTGTTGAAACCATCACGTTTCAGCAAATGCCTTCATCATTTACTGAAACAAGACAGAGGACTCTATATTCCTTTCAAAATGACAACATGAACAGTAGGCTACATTGATACACAACTAGACTATCATGGAGGGGTTCTTGTTGTGTGATTGCTTTGACTGAAATTAGATTTTCTCTATGTCTCCTCCCAGCTTGTGGCAGTAAAGTGGACCCGGTGTATGAAGCTCTCCGGTTCGGGACATCTCTGGCACAGAAGAACAAGAGGGCCAGTGGCTCTGAGTCCCCCCATAGAAACTCTGTAAGAACAACAACAACACAATGTATTAATGAAACTACCTCATCAGCAACTCACCAGCTGACAGTCATTTAGGACACTACCCCATCAACCGTAGCGGTGTGCGGGTAAAATCACTGAGCAAACCAAGCCGGTAAAAAATACATATTACAACCTATGTTGTGATAATTGCGTTGTTTGCTCTATAACCCATTCGTTCATACGCCACCTTGATGTACAATAAGGCCGTGACTACAGTCACACAGTGCCGGAATAAATTCAACTACACATATGTTTGTTTCATCACAAAACCGGAGAGCAACATCTGTCCAGTGAAGTCCACAAAGCAAATATTGCATGTAACAAACAGTTATATCACCTGTAGCATGGTCAAGTAAGTTCATCTTTTCGACAGTTTACTAAACAACTTCTGATTTAGAACCACGGAGTTACCGCAAGTCACCACAAAGACAACAGGAGCACTGCCTCCACTATTCCAGCACCATTTCAATGTAAACATTTAAACATCATCAAATCAACAAGGCTATATATGCTTAGTTTAATACACTGAAAACACATTTAAAGATACCAAAAACAATTTAGTCAATCAATGTTGCTAAATATCATGTGGCTGTCCATGGTACTGATTTATCTGTGTGTGTGTGTGTGTGTGTGTGTGTGCGCGTGTGTGTGTGTGCCTGTGCGTGTGTGCGCAAGTAAACACATTTTTTTGACTCACCCTACTTGTAGACTAGTTGAACGCCAATGCCATCCTCCTCTCTTTCATGTTGGCAAAACGGTCTATGGCTCAGTCATACAAACAAAACACTTTTAGTTTTGGTTGTCATAGGCTACCTAGCTAAAATGTTTGCTAGCCTAAGTTCCTCGCATGGGCAACAATGAACCAGCTAAGTTAACTAGCTAGCTAGTTAAAGTGAGCCTACTAGGACACATCTAGGCTACATATTGAACTTCAATCATCTCAGGCCAGTGGCACAACATAATAATTTATTGTTAGATCAGAATCGCCATCATAATCATTGGCCTGTACAGGGAATTAAGTCAAAAACACAAGTCCAAATCCCCATCTCCAGCCATGGCTTAGGAAAGGGCCGATTTAGCAAGCAAGCTACTGCAAACGGTGTTTGAGGTCCCGGAACGCCCAGTCAGCAGCTGGGGACCATGTGAACGGAACCTTGGGAGAGGTGAGTGCAGACGGGGGGAAGCCAGGGTGCTGTAACCCCGGATAAAGAGGCAATAAAAGTAGGTGAATCCCAGGAAACGTTGCAGCTGCACTCTGGACGTAGGCTGGGGCCAATTCACCACCGCTCTTACCTTCCCAGGATCCATCTGTATACTCCCTTCAGCGATGATGTAGCCCAGGAAGGGGATGGTGGAGCAATGGAATTCGCATTTCTCCGCTTTCACAAAAAGCTGGTTCTCCAGGAGGCGTTGGAGGACCTGCAAGACGTGGAGCACGTGTTCTTGGGCAGATCGGGAGAAAACGAGGATGTCATCGAGATAGAAGTAGACGAACCGGTTCAACATGTCGCGGAGAACATCATTAACCAGGGCCTGGAACACAGCTGGAGCATTGGTAAGACCAAATGGCATGACCAGATACTCGTAGTGACCGCTGGCCATGTTGAAGGTAGTCTTCCACTCGTCCCCCTCCCGTATCCGCACCAGGTGGTAGGCGTTCCGTAGATCCAGCTTGGAGAACACGTTGGCCCGCTGGAGCGGCTCGAAGGCCGAGGAGATGAGTGGTAGCGGGTAGCGGTTCTTCACCGTGATGTCGTTGAGGCCCAGGTAGTCGATGCACAAAGAAGAAGGCCCCGGTTCTTCTTCTCCACAAAGAAGAACCTTGCGCTGGCAGGGGAGGCAGAAGGACGGATGAACCCGGCAGCTAGGGAGTCCTCAATGTAGGTCTCCATAGCCTTGGTCTCCGGACCCGACAGCTAGTACAGTCGTCCCCGGGGCGGAGTGGTGCCTGGGAGAAGGTTGATTCCGCAGTTGTAGGGTTGGTGCGGCGGAAGCGAAGATGCCTGTGCCTTAAGGAACACCTCCTGGAGTTCCTGGTACTCCGCGGGAATGGTGGAGAGGTCCGAGGCAACTTCCGAGCCCCCAGGAAGACATCCCGGGGCAGGCTGCGCTGACTTCAGGCAATGAGCGTGGCAGAACGTGCTCCAGCCCATGATGGCACCAGTAGACCAGTCAATAAAGGGGTTGTGTCGCTGGAGCCAAGAGAAACCCAATACCACGGGAACCTGAGGAGACTTAATTAGCAGGAATTGGGTTGTCTCGCTGCGGTTCCCTGATACTCGTAGGTTGATGAGGGTGGTATTTTGGGTGACCCGGCCTATAGAGCGCCCGTCCAGCGCTCTAACGTCCATGGAGAGTGGCTGAGTGGGGATGCCCAGCTCAGACGCCAGGGCAGCGTCCATAAAGCGCTCATCGGCCCAAGAGTCAATGATAATCCGGAGAGATTTAGACTGGTTCCCCCACAGCAAGATGGCATGAAAGGGAGTGCAAGTAAGGGGAGAGGAAAGTTATCCGTACTTAAGTTAAGTACTCGCTCCTACCGGTGAGCCTGGTCTTTTAGTGGACAGGTGGACACAAAATGACCAGTAGTCCCGCACTACAGGCAACTCTTCGTGTGAAGCTTGTATTTCCGTTCGGCTGGAGACAGCCTAGCTCTGCCTAGTTGCATCGGCTCGGGAAGAGGTGAATCGGCAGACTTCGGAGACTCGGGTAGCCTCGGGTTCTCTTGGCAACGGAGCTGTCGGGGACTTCCGGGATGCCTCAGAGTCGAGGTGGAATCCTTGGGCGAGCGAGTGGAATCGGACTTCCCCTCCTTCCTTCATTCCTGTAGTCGCCCATCGATTTGAATGGTCAAGGCGATGAGCGAGTCGATATCCGTCGGTAGTTCCCAGGCTGCAAGCTCGTCCTTTACATCCTCAGATACTCTGTGCAGGAACGTGTCGAATAGCACTTCCGGGTTCCAGGCACACTCAGCTGCCAACGTCCGGAAATCCACTGCATAGTTTGGCCACACTGCAGGATTCTTGCAGAAGCTGGAGTAACTTCCAGGCAGCCTCTCTCCCGGACTATGGAGCATTGAAAACCTTCTTTACCTCGTGCATGAACTCCTCCAGACTGAATCATATGGCCGACTGCTGTTCCCACACTGCTGTAGCCCAGGCGAGAGTCCCCCCGGACATCAGCGTGATGAGGTACGCTATCTTAGAGTGGTCTGAGGGGAAGGAGGAGGGCTGCAGCTCGTTGATGAGCGAACACTGAGCGAGAAATGCCTGACAGGTTCCCGACTCTCCAGCGAAGCGTTCCGGGGAGGTAAGCAGGGTTCTCGGGAAACCGGGGTGGCCGCGCTGCTAACAGCTGGGTTACTGAGGGGCTGGGAGGTTACCGTCGTGGTAGGCTGCCTAACAGACAACCCGCGGAATTCTTCCAGCAATGTGTTAAACGCTCGGTCATGGCGTTCGGCCAAGGTCTGGAACCCTTCCATGAGACCACGAAGCGACTCTTCGTGCCTTCCAATGGTGGCTCCTTGGGAGGAGATGGCGTTGTGCAGCTGGTCCGAGTCTGCTGGGTCAGTCATGGCCAGTTCGTACTATCACGTTTCAGGAGAAGACCTAGATGCAGACAATGTCGAAGTAACAAAAGTTTATTACAAAAACAGTGGGCAGTCAAATGACAGGTTAAGGGCAGGCAAAGGTCAGTAATCCAGATCAGAGTCCAAAAGGTACAGAACGGCAGGCAGTCTCAGGGTCAGGGCAGGCAGAGGTCAATAATCCAGGGTGGTGTGACAAGGTACAGAACGGCATGCAGGCTCAGGGTCAGGGCAGGCAGAATGGTCAAAACCGGGAAAACTAGAAAACAGGAAATTGAGAAAGACAGGAGCAAGGGGAAAACCGCTGGTAGGCTTGACGAAACAAAATGAACTGGCAACAGACAAACAGAGAACACAGGTATAAATACACTGGGGATAATGGGGAAGATGGACGACACCTGGAAGTGAGTGGAGACAATCACAAAGACAGGTGAAACAGGGTGTGCCAGAGTGACATTATTAGGCCTATAAAGGAGCATCGCTTTAACAAATCCTCCTTCAGAGTCACATGCAGGTAAAACATTTTGATTTCTACATAGTATCTGAAAGAGCATATTCTGCTGTTTCTATGACACTTACCTTTTTTAAATAACTCTAAAAATTCAAGAGGTTTTTTCAAGAATATCCATGCTGTCCATGCATTCAGTACATGACCACTCGCGTGGCAGCATTGCTCTGGCTACTAAGCAAAAAGTAGTAACATAATACACTTACAATTAAAATATGCTATTCTGTTGTCATTGGATGAATGGGCGATAGAAACCAGATAGAAACTGACTCTGTACCGGTACCCTATACTGTATATAGCCTCACTAGTGTTATTTTACTGCTGCTCTTTAATTATTTGTTATTTCTTTGGATTTTGTGTTTTTTACTTCTCTATTTTTTACTAAACACTTATTTTTCTTAAAACTGCATTGTTGGTTAAGGGCTTGTAAGTAAGTAAACATTTCACTGTAAGGTGTTGTATTCGGCGTATGTGACAAATACAATTTGATTTAATGGTGCATGTGACTTCAGTTACATTTTGGTTAACCGCAGATGTCGAAACCAAGTACTTGCTCAATGGCTTTCCATACCTGGAGAAAGATTAAACCAGGCCAGCGGGTGAGCGATTCTCTGAGACTGTGGTTTTGAGACTCGTGGAGCCTTACATGGGCAAAGACAGAAATGTGACCATGGACAACTTCTTCATATACATTTCCCTGGCAGACAAGTTGATTGCAAAGAAGACTAGCCTGTTCAGAACAGTGAACAAACAAAGGCAGGAGCTGCCCCCTTCTGCGCAAAACAACATACCAGTCGAGCTGTGGTAAAGCAACACTCATGGTGTACAGATGTAAAATAAATAAGTGTTTGCATCCTCAGCACCATGCATCCCACTGTTGCCATCGGC